TTCTCCTTCTTCTCCTCCTTCCTCTTCTTCTTCTTCTTCCTCTTCTTCTTCTACTACTTCTCCTTCTCCTTCTCCTCTCCTCATCGCACGCCCGTTTCTTCGATCCTCCGCGCATGCACTCCCACATGCCCTACTCCCACTCACGACACTCCCCTTTTCTCCTTGGCAACCATCTCTTTCTTTCCTACCACGCAGTCTCCCTGCTTTCTCCACGTTCTCCCTCGACTTCGTGGTCACATCGATTAACTGCGCCCGTCTCCTCTAACCCCCGTTGGCCACGTGCGTGTTCCCCATCATGTCGGGCAGAAGACGAGCCCAGCCTCACGTCACCATCGCCATTCGCAAAGCCAGGTACGTTGCTCTTTCTCCTTCCCTCTCTTCTACTACTACTATTTCTTCTTCTTCTTCCCCGCTCGTTTTCCTTCTTAGCTCGCTAGCGGTCGTCTTCCTTCCTCGCGGCTCCTCCTCTCCTCGCTCTTCCCAGTTCCGCACGGAGTGGGTCTGCCTCGATTCCCGTTCGACTTCGAGGTCGAGGTGTGAGCTGACGGGTAGCGGCGCTATACAGGGTCTTTTCTTTTTGGTGTGCGAGGCTAGAGCCCCGATGGACCCCTTTTCTGGCCCTGCTATACAGACTGTCGGCCGCCGTAAGTGAAGGCAGGCTCGACGAGGCCCTCAAGGCCCTTTTTCGGCCACTGCGCAACCAAGGAAATTCAGGCAGTTGCGCAGCGCCAGTTGGTTGAAGAAACCCAGGCCCTGGGCCGCCTATGTGAATGAATGGAAAGCAGGCCCTGGGCTGGATACGGGTACCAGGCTGAACACAGGCCACAAGCAGTTGGGCACATGCAACCACCTCAGGCCCAGGGCCTGTTCTCGTGTGTACTGGGCCTCAGGCTACCGGGGCCTACTAGAAGCTTCCTAGGACTGGACGCGGGCAGGCCACTTCCATATAGCAAGGGTCTGCCTCCTCATTCGGCATTCGGGTGCTGGCTGCATGCTGCGCTATTTCGCTGGCTGGCACTCACGCTCTCACGGGCGAGCAGGAAGGAGCGGGCAGCCATAGCCAAGCTGCTCCGCTGTGAGCTGGGTGTGGCGCAGGGTGGTCCTTGGGTGCTAGTGGCATCTGTGTGTTGAGGAACGAGGTTGTGAGTGTAGCGAGAGACATACCTGGTGCTGGAAGCATGCGACATTGGTCGCCATATGCTCGTACTTCTGGAAAGTTGTTGATGTCAACTTCGGCATTGTAGTATAGGCTAAATAGGATCTTGCACATGTAGTCTGGGCGCCGAGCGCCAGATAGGATATCAACTCCGGTTCTTCGTTGATGATGATGATGGGTTTATTTCAGCATTGTCAATTATGAACTCTTGGTGTGTTCTTATTTGGTGAATCTCGTGATGCAATTCTACTGTTGGTTCGAGGTCAAGACCATTTGGACTCATATGTATGATGCTGTTTGATTGCTGAAGTTCGCTATTGCTCATCTTCCTTGCAATTTGGTATCAGAGTTGTGGTTCGATTGCGCTCATTTGGCACTTGTCTTCTGCCTGGTACAGTACATACATGCGGTCTGCTTGGCGAGTTTGGCCGTAAGTGGTGTGTAGTGAGGAGGGCGGAGACAAGCGGTTGGCGACCCGGGAGGTGAGGGGTATCGCCTGGAAGGCTACGTGGTGTGTATATTGGGTGTTTACAGTGTGATGAGAACTATCTGGTGGTTGATTGATGCTGAGGTGGAACGGCGAGATAATGCTGGTTGTGCAGAGGCAGTGACTGGTCATCGCAATCATCATCAGGTCATCTGGTGAGAATATCTGTGGTTGGGGGCAGCAAAGTTGAGGTACGTTGCTCTTAACCCTCTTCAACACTTTGACCGTGAGGTTGTGTGATCCAACTTGAGAGTCCTCTCATGTGAGGTGTCGAGTGCGCTCAACCTTGAGAGTCGGCATACTTCCTGTGGAGCATTTGGAAGGAGAGGGCGTTGCTGTCTGAAGGGCCCTGGATGAAGCACTGGGTCACGGTCACCATGCCAACCCACCGAGAGTAGAGCACGCATGCTTTGCTGCTTTGTCCTTGTCTGCTTGCTGCGCTCATAGATGGGTATTGTTGGACAGGCCAGCCCTACGGGAAAGACAAGAACCCGGCGTCTATAAATAAACACGGGTAGGGGATATCATTGGCTGTGGTCGTCGTCCTGTTGCGACGTAAAAGAATTCCTGATGTCACTTGGGGGCGGACGTTAAAATGCCTCTTGATCAGCCAGTGATGTAAGGCTCGCGGCACGCCGAGGGTAAATATACGTGCAAGGCTGGCCAGCTCAACAATTACTCGGGGCACAGGGGTGGGTCATGTGCACACCTTTAGTCACGCATGCTACCGGATTGCTCGGGAACGCTGATGTTAAGTGACAATCAAGTGGGATTGGGGGAAAGGGTAGATTCCAGGTGATAAGTTCGTGTTAGATCCCATGTTGTAAACAGACCCAGTCAAATGATATTATTTTTATTTTGATTAGTTAGATGGACTGCCATTGACATCTGACAGACAACATTAGTTAGAACTATTTATTGTACCTAGTGCTTCTCTTTGCGGACTAGTCAAACTAAAAATAGTTTCGTTTGCAGGAATCTGTGCTTATCTGTTGTACCCAAATGTATCTACCCCGAAACAATTTATTTATTTATTTTAAATTGGTCTGTGCGCTATGCTGCGGTAGGCATCTAGAGTGTCCTAGTGTACGCGGTGCACAGTGTTGTAGCACATGAGCGACGGGGAGGTTACACAACCGGACGACCGGATCTTGCGATCAGCTAGACGCCCGATAGCCCACGTGTCCTTAGGACCGGAGGGTGATAGGATTCTGTTCCGCCAACTCAGGGAGAGGTAGCAGCAGCAGAGGAGAGCTAGAGCATCCGAGGTCATCAGGGCTTTCGCTAGCGAGGCCGCTGCTACAGCAGCCATGGCCACTTCCGCTATGGTCACTTCTGCGCAGCAGACTTCCCAGTGCAGCAGTTCAGGTATCGTCGGGTCAACGGCCGCGCAGACCGTAGGTCAGTCCACTGGCGTTAAGGTAAGCCAGGAAGGAGTGTTGACCCCAGAGGATGTCGCCATCCAGCAGGAGGCACAGCTACAGAAGGCTTTAGGGGAGATAAAGGCGGAAAAAGAGAGAATGATAGAAAAGCCAGGATGCAGCGAAGAGAAGCGGACATAGAGGAGTTAGAGACGATGGACCTGACACACATGGATGACGATGTAAAGGTAGTTAGAAGGGCCCTGCTAGGAGTCATAGAGACGCAGGACCAGCAGACTGCCATCCGTCAGGACATTCAGCGGAGCCTAGCCATGTTGGTAGGGCGTGTTCAGGTAGTACCATCACCGCCAGGGCCTGGTGCCTGGCCCGTGGCATATCCTCCTCTTTCTGTCCCATCGGTTACTGGGGTATCCCCATACGTAGCCCCGTCGACGGTCGCAATCGTTTCCATGCGCATGCCGCTTTCAGGAGGGTTATCAGCAGGTCCTAGTGTACAGGTTCCAGTACAGTCTGTGGTCACCCAAACTCCGTCGCAGGTTGCCATTAGTGGGCAACCAGCTGTCTCACAGCCTGTGCAGCCGTAGGGGTCTCAGCCCCAGCAGCAACAGGTACAGCAAGCTGTTCCCCAGAGTCCACAGCCTGGACAGCTGCAGGGACAACCGCAATGGGTTCCAAAGACCGCCATAGCCGCGCCTAAGCCTTTTACAGGGGACAAGCGAGGCGAAGACCTTGACAGGTGGTTAAGGTCTGTGCCGGTCTATGTCAGGTGTAAGCTTACCTTGCCGCATGAGGAAGTGCTTGTGGCTGCCTCCTACCTGGAGGGTAGTGCAGCAAGATGGTTGAGCGGTCTGGTGCAGTTACAGGGATATGGTCATGACTTCCGCGCTTGGGCAGCCAGCCAAAAGCTGGGTGACTTTCTCAAGTTAGTGGAGGAGAGGTGGCATGATCCTCAGGAGGCTCAAAAAGCCACTGACGCGAGCGTCTGATTTGTGTCCCTGGGGTTCGCTATGACCCCCAAGTCTTACTGACAACTGAGGTGTCTGCCGATGCCTATCAAGAATCAGTTGGCAGTTGAGGCTAACATCAACATGCACAACTTTCCCTCGTTTAGCAAGAAGGCCCTAGACCTTGAAGCTAAGATAGGGCATGGACATAACCCAGCGACGGACGCGAGAAAGAAGACCCTGCCTCCTAACTGGAAAGCCAAGGGTCGCATTATGTTCGTTGACAACGATGGTTCAACCATCGAGTTAAACGACGACCCCCAGTCAGGAGTAGGTGCAGAGGCAAGTGGCGAAACTTCAGAGGGTGGAGTAGTCGCCGTTGTAACCCAACAAAAAGGTAGGGGGACCGATAGGCGCCGAGGGGGCTCCCGGTCTAGGAGTCAAGTCGACCCCAATGCTCCTCCATGGGAGAAAGCGAGTCTAACAGAGGACGTGTGGAGAGACCGGTGGAACCGACAGGCCTGCATCCGTTGTGGCCAATACGGCCATAACCAGTTTAAATGTAGGAACAAGAAGGTCACCGAGAAGATCCCGCCTACTATGGGGCAGGCGGTAGGATCCTCCGCTCCCGTGGGCAGCAATGTTGCCAGTTCATCAGGCACTGCTCCGGGAAACACGTCAGGCCAGTAGGAATAGTAGTTGTTCCTACTAGGGTCGAGGTGGTGGAGACACCCTCGCCATCTCGCAATATGGCCCAAGCTACTGACTCCCCCGTCGTCCCACAAACACATTCAGACCCATCGCCCCTCTGTTCGATGAATGTGTTTGAATCCTTAGAGGAGCTAGAGGAGGAGTGGTCTAGATCAGACCCACTAGCTTCTTGGACGGCCTTGGCTAAACCTCCTAAGGGTGAGATGTTCGTCAGCGAGATAGTCGTAGGCGGTCGCAAGGCCGGGGCCTATTATGACACTTGCTCGACGAGGAACTTTATTAGTCGCGCGTGCGTTGCGAGGCTGCGCTTACAGGGGCGAGTGCAGCGCCTGAGTCGACCTGTGGAGTCGACCTGTGCCAACAAATAGCGCATGGTAGTTAATGACTACCTCCAGGACGTTGAGTGCCCGTTCCCGTACGCGGGAGGGGAATTGAGGCATCGTGTCTCATTCTTGGTGAGCGATGATCTCCCCATGGACATCTTGTTAGGTATGTACTACCTCTCGGTTGCACAACCCCAGTTTGACTGGGACCGAAAAGTGGTCAAACACACTTTGCCAGGTGGAGGGACCGCCAAATTGCACAAGTTCAAAGCTAGTAGTGTGATCGAGTCCCATGGACGCATGTGTGCGGCCGCGTTCTATAATTATTACAAGCAAAATCAGGAGGAGGGTATGTATCTAGTTTATGTCTCTGCTGCAGGCGAGCCGGTGAAAATGCCGCCGAAGATAGAGGGAGTAGTTGCTAAGTACCCTGTTGTATTTGAAGAGTCAGCAGGGGTTGTTGAGAGGGAGGTCGTCCACGCGATAGAGATTATCCCAAGGTCTAGCATCCCGAAGGGTAGGATCTATCGGATGTCTCCAGGAGAGCTCGATGAGCTTCGCCGACAGCTCAAGGAACTCATAGAGAAGGGTTGGATCCGGCCGAGTGTCTCTCCTTATGGATCTCAAGTACTATTCGTACCTAAGAAGAAGGAGGGTACTTCTAGGATGTGCATTGACTATAGGGGCCTCAATGCCATCACTGTAAAGAACAGAGAGCCCCTACAACGCATCGACGATTTGTTAGATAGAGTGCAAGGGTGTCGGTACTTCAGTAAGATAGATCTGAAGTCCGGGTACCATCAGATTCCAATCCGGCCCGAGGATCAACACAAAACTGCTTTCCAGACCAGGTACGGTCTGTACGAGTTTGTGGTGATGCCTTTCGGCCTTTGCAATGCTCCTGGCACCTTTCAGCACGCTATGAATCGGATATTCCATGACTACTTGGATAAGTTTGTCATCGTGTACCTCAATGACATACTTTTATTTAGTAGGACTGTCGAGGAGCACGTTGCACATTTGGACAAAGTCCTTAGCCTCCTGCGACAGCACAAGTTCAAGATCAACGGTGAGAAATGCGAGTTTGGCCGCACCCGTGTCTTGTACTTGGGTCATGAGATATCCGCGGAAGGGTTGAAGCCCGATGACGCGAAGGTGGCCTGCATTCGTGATTGGCCATGTCCTCAGTCTGTGATTGAGATGAGATCATTCTTAGGGATGACCGGCTACTACCGCAACTTCGTGGAGAACTATAGCATAGTTGCCGCCCCTTTGACTGATCTGACCCGCCTTGACACCTCATGGGAGTGGACTGAGAGACGCGAGGCTGCTTTTAGACATCTGAAGCATGCGTTGACGCATTACGAAGTCTTAAAACTTCCTGATCCTGACAAGCCCTTTATAGTGACTACGGATGCTAGCCAATATGGCATAGGCGTGGTGCTTGCACAACAGGAGGGGAAAAAGTTGAGGCCCGTAGAGTACATGTCCAAAAAGATGCCCTCTCAGAAGTTGGCAAAGTCCACCTATGAGAAGGAGCTGTATGCGGTGTACAAGGCTCTAACCCATTGGAGACACTATCTCCTTGGGAGGTTCTTCATCCTCAAGACTGATCATCAGACCCTCAGATGGATGAGAACTCAGCCGGTACTCTCTGACGCTCTTAAGCGTTGGATCGAAGTCATAGAGTAGTATTACTTCGAGCCCCAGTACATCAAGGGCGAGTACAACAAGGTTGCTGATGCCTTGTCGCGCAGACTTGACTTCTCAGGGGTGCTGATCACTGAGTTTGGGCTTGAGGACAATGTTACTCAGTCTTTGGTGGAAGCCTATCGCGCGGACCAGTTTATGTCAGAGATCATACGCAGACTCGAGGCGAAGGACAAAAAGACTTCTGCCGACTTTGAATTGGTCAATGGTTTGCTGTTCCTTGAGAAGGCAGGGAATAAATGATTGTGTGTCCCTAATAGCGAGTTTTTGCGTAGTTTATTTTTAGGTGAGTGTCATGATGCCACCGGACATTTTGGCTTTAAAAAGACTGCAGCCAATTTGTTGCAGCGGTTCTAGTGGCCCACGATGATGAGAGATGCGAAGCTGTACGTGGAAACTTATCAAGTCTATCAGAGAGACAAGCCACGTACTCAGGCTCCTCTTGGGCTCCTGAAGCCCCTTCCAATTCCGGAAAGGCCAGGTGAGAGCCTGTCCATGGATTTCATGGATACGCTGGTCACCAGCAAGAGCGGCATGAGACACATCTTCGTCATCGTGGATAGGTTTAGCAAATATGCTAGGTTGATAGCCATGCCGGAGTCAGCAAAGACCGAGTACGTCATTAGATTGTTTAAAGAGAACTGAATTAAGGATTTTGGTCTTCCCAAGTCCATAGTCAGTGACAGGGATGTCCGTTTCACTAGTGAGCTGTGGAAGGCTGCTGCTGCTGAACAGGGGACACAATTGCAAATGACGTCAGGGAATCACCCAGAGGCCAATGGTCAAGCTGAGCAACTGAACCGCGTTGTACAACACCTATTGAGGCATTATATTAAGCCCAACCAGGTCGACTGGGATGAGAAGCTCGCTCTCATCGCCAGCCGTATAACAACGCCATACACAGCGCCACCGGGGTGAGCCCAAACAGTCTACTTCTGACCTTCAAGCCTAGACTGCCCCTAGACTTTCTCCTGCCTGAGAACCGGTCAACTGTTGCGCCGGGCACCTTAGAATTTGCCTATAGGTATGAACAGAAAATGCAGCAGGCAGTAGAACAAATGCAGAAGGCACAGGTGGCAATGATCGAGTCTGAGAACAGACACCGTCGTCTTTCTACTTTTCAGGTTGGGGATAGGGTCTGGGTTAAGCCCTCAGAACTGGGACAAGAGCACGTGATTTCTCGCAAACTCATGCCCCAGTACTTTGGGCCTTGGGAAGTGTTGGATGTTGTTGGGACTGATCCGGATGGGCCATCCTATGTTATCCGGATCCCTGGTCACCTCCGTACCTACCCAGTCTTTCACGCTTCTAAGCTTGCACCATTCAAGGAAACCGATTAGTTTCCCTCGCGACGCTCAATGCGGCCCCCAACCATGGATGGAGAGGTGGACATCAATGACATGGTGGATCCCAGGGAGCTGACAGTGCAGAAGCCCACAGGCAGGGGACGTCCTCCGAAGCCAAAACTGCAGTACCGAGTCCGGTTCAGACATCACACAGATCCAAAGGAGGACCGCTGGTTTACTCGGGAGGAACTCATGCAGACCGCTCCTCAGGTCGTAGCCCAGTATGAAAAGTCTCTGCAGAAGGGAAAGCGCCAGATCATTGAAGACTGGTCTTCTCAGAGGACTATCGAAGATGTGGAGGAGGGAATGCGAGGCTAGAGCCCCGATGGACCCTTTTTCTAGCCCTGCTATACAGACAGTCGGCCGCCCTAAGTGAAGGCAGGCTCGACGAGGCCCTCAGGGCCCTTTTTCGGCCACTGCGCAACCAAGGAAATTCAGGCAGTTGCGCAGCGCCAGTTGGATGAAGAAACCCAGGCCCTGGGCCGCCTGTGTGAATGAATGGAAAGCAGGCCCTGGGCTGGATACGGGTACCGGGCCGAATACAGGCCATAGGCAGTTAGGCACATGCAACCACCTCAGGCCCAGGGCCTGTTCTCGTGTATAATGGGCCTCAGGCTCCGATGTGAGCTGGGTGTGGCGCAGGGTGGTCCTTGGGTGCTAGTGGCATCTGTGTGTTGGGGAACGAGGTGGTGAGTGTAGCGAGAGACATACCTGGTGCTGGAAGCATGCGACATTGGTTGCCATATGCTCGTACTTCGGAAAAGTTGTTGATGTCAACTTCGGCATTGTAGTATAGGCTAGATAGGATCTGCCACATGTAGTCTGGGTGCCGAGCGCCAGAAAGGATATCAACTCTGGTTCTTCGTTGATGATGATGACGGGTCTATTTCAGCATTGTCAATTATGAACTCTTGGTGTGTTCTTATTTGGTGAATCTCGTGATGCAATTCTGCTGCTGGTTCGAGGTCAAGACTATCTGGACTCATATGTATGATGCTGTTTGATTGCTGAGGTTCGCTATTGCTCATCTTCCTTGCAGATGTCTCTGTCGTAAATTCTGTGACAGATTCACCAAATCAAAGCTATATCAAATAACTACGGATCAAAAAAAAAAAAAAAAAAAAAAAAAGAACAAAAAAAGAACAAAAGGAAAAATAAGAATAAGAATAGAAAATAAAAAAAAGTGTTAAAGAAAATTAAAAATAAAATAAACGAATCTAACTGTTAACTACCCCGTTATGACACTTGTTTACAACGGGGTCTGTTACAACTGGCCAACGATACTAGTCCTAAAAGAGAGGTCGTGGGTTCAAGCCCTCGCGACCGCAACCGGGGCAAAATACAGTTGAACTCCCAGTCAAAAGGTAGCTAGCTCAGGGATCGATAGGCTTCGATCCCTGCATCCCCTGTGTAGCAAACAACACCTAAGCCTACTGAGCTAGCTCCCACTTCGAGTAGAAAGGGAGCAGCTCTGATATGTATAGGGTAGTGACTCCGCCCGACTAGTGGCCTAAGCTGCCTCCAAGTCTTGTGTGTGTATGCACGCTTGCTGGTTCGCGTGTCAGTCTAAGTGCTTGTTGGTTCGAGTGTGTGTGTGTTCCTGCAAGGGCACTTGATTAATTTGAAGGCCCGAAGGGCCGGTACTTAGCTATGGCCGCGACATTTGAGGGTCGCGGCGGGGAAAACACTCAAGTGGTAGGTAAGTCGGTACCTCACCAAGTAGAGGTCGATGTGCAGAGTACCCGATTTGGAGGCCGAGTAGAGGAAGACAAAAGCTGGCATTTTTAGATGCCCAGTATCGGTAGGTAGACAGGTACCAAGCCAAGTTTCAGTGTGTGTCGTAGATCTACTCGACACAGTATTAACCCAATCAACCCCTCGACCTTTTCGGTCGGAGGGTATTACTACTAATCCTAACCATCATAGCGCGCGTCTTAACAACACGCGCGCATACTCTCGAAATTTTATCATCGATTCACCCCGGCCTCGTTGGCCGAGGAATTCGTTTCGAGTGTCACGCCAAAGCGCACACACCCTTTCCATTCAGACCGGCTCCGTTATGGTAGGTGACGTCGTCACTGTGTCAAATGCAAAAGCATGGCCAAATACCCTTGTAAGGGTATTTGGTCCGACACCGCGTTATTCGCGAGAGTACCTACTCAAAGTTGCTTACATTCACGGTCTATCAGCAGTCAACTTAGTATAAAACTTGTAGATAATAGCGACGATTTTAAGCTCTCTAGTAATAATGAAGGCAACTCTCCAATGGTTATGGAGAGAACAACGCAGATCACCATGTAGATGACAAAACTAGTGCAAAACGCAACGGTGCTTAACTCACTGGTAATGGTAGACTCAGAAGGATTTTGTGTAGCCGTGGCTAACACCAGTAATGACAATCTCATATGGAATAACCAACCACGACAAAATAAGTGCTCCCTACGTTGGACTCGACCGGTGAAAAGTTGTCGATGGGGAAACTCTGTTCCTGACACTCTCATAACCGTATCAGCTTTATTGGTTCCCCACCACACAGCTATAGCCCATCGAAGCTCTAACTTCTTTTTCCTCTCTCACCCCGCCCTCTTACACCTACTTAGTGAAGATGGTGAAGACAACATGGCACTTAACTTGGTAGCGATATTGAAAGGAGGACGACGCAAAAACTCATTGAAGGGGCTTGGAGTCAGCACGGTGTCGAGCGCATCGGTCCATCACCGCACAAAACGGGGCGGGACCCTCCCAACCGCGTCACGCAGGAGTCGGTCTGATCCTCGTCGCAAATACACATGGAGCTTCCGCAAGCCGCTCCGACCAAGTGCGCCAGCCATACCTCTCGCCCCTACGATAGGATAGGGCCTAAAAGAGGCACGACTTACCTCCACCTTCCGGGAGTTGTCACCTCCTTTCGGTGGGCGTATCCCCGCCGAGCTACCAGTCCATAGTACGAAAGCTAATCATTTGCCATCGCAGAGGTGAACCAACTGAGGGCATTTCTCGTTCGCTGTAGCATAGGGGGTACGAGCGGTTTTACGCCTCTATCGGACCCGTATGCTAACCGACGCCTTGGGGGGCTGAGGTCCCATGCGCGACTCGTCGTCAGTCGACTAGGACGAATCCCACACACCACGCGTACACCATTCTAAAGACATAAAAATTAGAATACGCACGCACACGCACATATACAGAACAACACAAAACAAACAACGCGACAACACTCCCAGTCCCTTAGTAGCCATCCCATAACTCTCAAATGCGGAAATCGGATAGGCGTTGTGCGCGAGACTTAGTATAAAACCGCGTGGGCGAATGGCTAACTCATATCGACTCGCAATGCAAGCATACGCAAGCAGTCACAATGACGGCTTACTATGTAGTACCCATTCTCATGCAGTCCTCGTTAATCTCGAGGGTCGCATTCGACACTCAAGTATCGGCTGACACGCGCCTTGAGGGGTTGATCTCTCGACGCTAGACAACCGCCAAGTGTGGTTGAGAACCACACCCTCTTCTGCACCATGCGGAGAGTGGGTGGTACACAGGTTCATACCTGTGGTGGCAATCGTCTCTTATCGTCCTGGAGACCAGCTCCATCATCTAGGGTCTGGAGAGAAATCAAGGGGTTTGACTTTGATGGTTTCCACGGACTACAACGTCCAA